GTCTGAGGGTATGATCCCTCTTCTCGACAAAGAAGATGCCAGCTCCCGTTGGTGATGTAGAGGGCTGAATAAACCCTTTTTCCAAGCTTTCATCTATATAACTCCGGAGGACCTCTAGTTCGGAGAGAGGGTAAATTCGCCCAAAAAGGATCTCAGCACCGGGCAGAAGTTCAATAGGACAATCGTAGGGCCGGAGTGGGGGAAGAGCATTGGCACTCTTTTTGTTGAACACATCCAGGTAATCATGGTAAGCGACAGGAACGAGTTTCATCGTCTCAGAATCAGGATGGATACTAAGAAGAGGAGTCACTGTGCATGGTTCCTTAGGAATGCAATGATTCTGACAATATTCGGAAGGGAAAAGGATCTCCCCAGAAAACCAATATTGATGGATGGGTTGTGCGCTCTTAGCTAGGGCATGCCGAGGATGACCAGAAATATTGGTAAAGTTATGACAGCCATACATAGAAATAGGAGGAGTGGCAGAAAATTGGCATAGTCTCTTATGTCACAGGACCAGAACTGATACCAGAGCCACCAGCCAGATGAACCGAAAGTCTTTGTGTCTTAGTACGGAGGAGGATCTTATTTTGGTTAGCGAAGGTCAAATCCATGAAGCAGCTACAGGCACCAGAATCTATAATTGCTAGAACAGTAATAGTCTGTTAGCAAATTGTAATTGAAGAAGGAAGGAGAGGTGCGTTTGACTCGTTCCTTGTGGGTGCTTCATATGGAACAAGCTAGAGGAAGACTTATGAAGTCTCACTGGACACGTCAGTACATAGTGACCTGCATCACCACAGTATAGACAGAGGTTGGGGTCTTGTCATCGAAGACGTTCAGCAGAGGATAATGGTGGTCTCCATAAGCTCCTTCTAGGAGAATTATGATGCCTTCTTTTACTGGGGAGTATGTCTGATGTGACAGCAGTGGTTGAGGGAACAGGAGTCTCCATCTCTGAGCATATCAAGACACCCCTGTTAGTTTTTTCATCCCGCCTTTCCCGGATCCGTGGTCAATGTGAATGGCAAGGTTTATCAGGTCCTCTAGCCTGGTTGGTACCCCAACTCGGGCAAGCTCATCTTTCAAGATGTTCGAGAGACCAAGGCGTAACTGATGGCGGAGAGCAGACTCATTCTATTGAGTGTCAGAACTCTCCATATACGGAACTCGGTGACATATTCCTCTATAGGCCTTGGGCCTTGCTGTAGCATAGATTCTGCAGTCTGACGATGGAAGGTGTGACATAAATTGTACAGATGTGAGTAGCTGAGAGGTGACCTGTAGCAATATGTAATCCTAAATGTAGTTTCAGTCCTTGTCTTTGGGGGGAATTGAGGTGTTCAGAGACAGTCATCAATTAGCATCTGAAAAGTCTAGCTTCCTCTGGAAGTGACACCTGGGTGCTAATAAGATTTTGTCACCTTCTGAGGAAACCAGGAAGGAAATGGCTGGAGAAAGGGTTGGCTTCATGACTAGAGATGAGCGAATCGAAGTAGGCGAAGTGGAATTCGAATCGAATATTGGAAAATTTTCGATTCGCGCCGAATCCGAAAAATAGCCTACTTCGGACGCGCGAATCGAAATTTTTCCTAAAATGGCGGCGGACATGTGCGGCGACGGAGCGGGGTCTGGGAAGGCGCGCAGACAAGGCGCGCTGACACCATAATGCATTCATTCATGACATGTGATCGAATTAGCCAATCAGCAGACAGCCAGCCAGCACTGTGTAATGGTCGAGCTATAAATGGCGGCCATTTTAGAATTCTTCATTTGCCTCCAGTCATTCAAGAGAGGCAGAACCGCTCTGTATTAGGGACAGAGTTAGGGCCACAGAAACGGTACTTAGGGCCACAGAAACGTTACTCAGGGCCACAGAATTGTTACTGAGGGCCACAGAACTGTTACTTAGGGCCACAGAAACGTCTTTAGTTAGGGCCACAGAATTGTTACTCAGGGACAGACACAGAATTGTTACTGAGGGACACAGAATTGTTACTGAGGGCCACAGAACTGTTACTTAGGGCCACAGAATTGTTACTCAGGGACACAGAATTGTTACTGAGGGCCACAGAACTGTTACTTAGGGCCACAGAAACGTTACTCATGGGACACAGAATTGTTACTGAGGGCCACAGAACCGTTACTTAGGGCCACAGAATTGTTACTCAGGGACAGACACAGAATGTTACTGAGGGACACAGAATTGTTACTGAGGGCCACAGAACCATTACTTAGGGCCACAGAATTGTTACTCAGGGACAGACACAGAATTGTTACTCAGGGCCACAGAATTGTTACTGAGGGCCACAGAACTGTTACTTAGGGCCACAGAAACGTTTTAGTTAGGGTCCCACAGAATTGTTACTCAGGGACAGACACAGAATTGTTTACTGAGGGCCACAGAAACGTTACTCAGGGACACAGAATTGTTACTTAGGGCCACAGAAACGTTAGTTAGGGCCACAGAATTGTTACTTCTCAGGGACAGACACAGAATTGTTACTCAGGGACACAGAATTGTTTACTGAGGGCCACAGAACTGTTACTTAGGGCCACAGAATTTGTTACTCAGGGACACAGAATTGTTACTGAGGGCCACAGAACCGTTACTTAGGGCCACAGAATTGTTACTGAGGGACAGACACAGAATTGTTACTGAGGGCCACAGAACCGTTACTGAGGGCCACAGAACCGTTACTTAGGGCCACAGAATTGTTACTCAGGGACAGACACAGAATTGTTACTGAGGGCCACAGAATTGTTACTTAGGGCCACAGAAACGTTACTCAGGGCCACAGAATTGTTACTGAGGGCCACAGAACTGTTACTTAGGGCCACAGAAACGTTAGTTAGGGGCCACAGAATTGTTACTCAGGGACAGACACAGAATTGTTACTGAGGGACACAGAATTGTTACTGAGGGCCACAGAACTGTTACTTAGGGCCACAGAATTGTTACTCAGGGACACAGTGAATTGTTACTGAGGGCCACAGAACCGTTACTTAGGGCCACAGAATTGTTACTCAGGGACAGACACAGAATTGTTACTGAGGGACACAGAATTGTTACTGAGGGCCACAGAACCATTACTTAGGGCCACAGAATTGTTACTCAGGGACAGACACAGAATTGTTACTCAGGGGACACAGAATTGTTACTGAGGGACACAGAATTGTTACTGAGGGGACACAGAATTGTTACTGAGGGCCACAGAACTGTTACTTAGGGCCACAGAAACGTTACTCAGGGACACAGAATTGTTACTGAGGGCCACAGAACCGTTACTTAGGGCCACAGAATTGTTACTCAGGGACAGACACAGAATTGTTTACTGAGGGACACAGAATTGTTACTGAGGGCCACAGAACCATTACTTAGGGCCACAGAATTGTTACTCAGGGACAGACACAGAATTGTTACTCAGGGACCACAGAATTGTTACTGAGGGACACAGAATTGTTACTGAGGGACACAGAATTGTTACTGAGGGCCACAGAACTGTTACTTAGGGCCACAGAACTGTTACTTAGGGCCACAGAAACGTTACTCAGGGACACAGAATTGTTACTGAGGGCCACAGAACCGTTACTTAGGGCCACAGAATTGTTACTCAGGGACAGACACAGAATTGTTACTGAGGGCCACAGAATTGTTACTTTAGGGCCACAGAAACGTTACTCAGGGACACAGAAATTGTTACTGAGGGCCACAGAAACCGTTACTTAGGGCCACAGAATTGTTACTCAGGGACAGACACAGAATTGTTACTGAGGGCCACAGAATTGTTACTTAGGGCCACAGAACCGTTACTTAGGGCCACAGAATTGTTACTCAGGGACACAGAATTGTTACTCAGGGACACAGAATTGTTACTGAGGGCCACAGAACCGTTACTTAGGGCCACATAAACGTTACTCAGGGACACAGAATTTGTTACTGAGGGCCACAGAACCGTTACTTAGGGCCACAGAATTGTTACTCAGGGACAGACACAGAATTGTTACTCAGGGACACAGAATTGTTACTGAGGGCCACAGAACCGTTACTTAGGGCCACAGAAACGTTACTCAGGGACAGACACAGAATTCTTAATCAGGGACAGACACAGAATTGTTACTGAGGGACACAGAATTGTTACTGAGGGACACAGAATTGTTACTCAGGGACAGACACAGAATTGTTACTCAGGGACAGACAGAATTGTTACTGAGGGCCACAGAAATGTTACTTAGGGCCACAGAAACGTTACTCAGGGACACAGAATTGTTACTCAGGGACAGACACAGAATTGTTACTGAGGGACACAGAATTGTTACTGAGGGACACAGAATTGTTACTGAGGGCCATAGAACTGTTTTTACTTAGGGCCACAGAACTGTTACTTAGGGCCACAGAACTGTTACTCAGGGACACAGAACCGTTACTTAGGGCCACAGAATTGTTACTCAGGGACAGACACAGAATTGTTACTGAGGGCCACAGAATTGTTACTTAGGGGCCACAGAAACGTTACTCAGGGACACAGAATTGTTACTGAGGGCCACAGAACCGTTACTTAGGGCCACAGAATTGTTACTCAGGGACAGACCACAGAATTGTTACTGAGGGCCACAGAATTGTTACTTAGGGCCACAGAACCGTTACTTAGGGCCACAGAATTGTTACTCAGGGACAGACACAGAAATTGTTACTGAGGGACACAGAATTGTTACTGAGGGCCACAGAACCGTTACTTAGGGCCACAGAATTGTTACTCAGGGACAGACACAGAATTGTTACTCAGGGACACAGAATTGTTACTGAGGGCCACAGAACCGTTACTTAGGCCACAGAAACGTTACTCAGGGACACAGAATTGTTACTGAGGGCCACAGAACCGTTACTTAGGGCCACAGAATTGTTACCACCTCCTCATGCTGCTGCCAGGTCCAGAGTCTGTCATGGGTCCCTGTACGGCCTCCCATTGCTGCTGTCTCCATCGCCACACCTCTGCCATGTGCCACTTTCAGGTCTCCTCACACTGCTGGTGTGTTTCCATTTTTTTGTCATAGGGTTGCTGGCAGATTACGGGCCTCCCATTGCTGCTGCCAAGGCCCGTAATCTGCCATGGGCCCCTGTACCGCCTCTTCATGCTGCTGCCAGGTCCAGAGTCTCTCATGGGTCCCTGTACGGCCTCCCATTGCTGCTGCCAGGAGGCAGCAGGGTCGCAGCAGTGTCAGTGGAGGCAAACGGCCACGGAGTAGAGCACCAGCTCCACTGCAGCCTACCACCACGGCCAGTAGTGGTGCCAGTGTGCACGGAGGAAGTAGCAGTCAGCCAGTGAGGAGTATCGGGGGCAAAGTTTCCTACTCGGTGGTGTGGCAATTTTTCGTCAAGCCGCCCGAGGAAGTAAACATAGCCGTTATTATGTCGACTATGTGGCCAGAAAGTCAAGCGTGGCCAGGGGGCCCATGTTGGGACTACAGCGTTGCGTCAGCATATGCAGCGTCGCCATTCGGTGGCCTGGGAAAACCGTGATAAAGATACGGCGGTTCTGCCTGCCCCAGCCCAGGGTTCCATTTTGTCATAGGGTGCTGGCAGATTACGGGCATCCCATTGCTGCTGCCAGGCCTTAATCTGCCATGGGCCCCTGTACCGCCTCCTCATGCTTGCTGCCAGGTCCAGAGTCTGTCATGGGTCCCTGTATGGCCTCCCATTGCTGCTGTCCTCCATCGCCACACTCTGCCATGTGCCACTTTCAGGTCTCCTCACACACTGCTGTGTGTTGAATTTTTTGACATAGGGTGCTGGCAGATTACGGGCCTCCCATAGCTGCTGCCAGGCCCCTAATCTGCCATGGGCCCCTATATACCGCCTCCTCATGCTGCTGCCAGGTCCACAGTCTCTCATGGGTCCCTGTACGGCCTCCCATTGCTGCTGTCTCCATCGCCACACTCTGCCATGTGCCACTTTCAGGTCTCCTCACACACTGCTGGTGTGTTGAAATTTTTTGACATAGGGTGCTGGCAGATTACGGGCCTCCCATAGCTGCTGCCAGGCCCCTAATCTGCCATGGGCCCCTATATACCGCCTCCTCATGCTGCTGCCAGGTCCACAGTCTCTCATGGGTCCCTGTACGGCCTCCCATTGCTGCTGTCTCCATCGCCACACTCTGCCATGTGCCACTTTTTCAGGTCTCCTCACACACTGCTGGTGTGTTGAATTTTTTGACATAGGGTGCTGGCAGATTACGGGCCTCCCATTGCTGCTGCCAGGCCCCTAATCTGCCATAGGCCCCTATATACCGCCTCCCATTGCTGCTGCCAGGCCCGTAATCTGCCATGGGCCCCCGTACCGACTCCTCATGCTGTGACGTTGCAACAAGGTGGAATTCAACCCTACACATGTTTAGAACAGCGAAAGGCCATCACCGATTTCCTGATGTTACAAGCGGATAAAGGTACTCCCCTGTGTAACTTAGATGTCAGCCATTTGGCAGCTCATGCGTGACACCTGCCGCTTGCTCAGGCCCTTTGAGGAGGCCACGCTATTCGTGAGTCGGCAGGACTATGGGATGAACGACGTCATTCCTCTGTTGCATGTCCTGGAACAAATGCTGTTAACAATGGCTGGTCAGGGTGCGGTAGACGTGGCGCACAGATCTCAACGCCACATGACCCCTGTGGGGGCAGGACAGGAAGAAGAGGAGGAGGTAGAGGAGGACATTGGTGCTCAGGAATTATTGAGTGAAATGGGTGGTTTTTCCACTCAGCGGACAGGAGTGGAGGAGCAGGAGCATCTGGTAGAGGAGGAGGAGGAGGAGACAGAGGACCCAGACGCACCGTGGCAGTATGCTGTGGAGATGGAGGCAGGGAGTCCCTCGCATTCCTTGGCACAAATGGCCCATAGCATGCTCGCTTGCTTGCGTACCAACAGCCGAATAATAAACCATCAGACAGACGGATGACTTTTGGCTGTCCACCTTGTTGGATCCTCGCTACCGTTCCAAAATGGTGGCCTTTTTCACACCTGCTGAGAGGGAGGCCAAAATAACGTACTATAAAAACCACCTATGTAGTCAGCTGGTCTCTGCCTGTCTGCGCCAACGTCCATCCTCAGACACTGTGGGCCCTGTGCGCTCGCGTTCCGCTGCCATGGCAGCAGGGGAGGGGTGGGGTGGTTAGGAGCAGTGGCAGCTCTCCACCAGCAGCAGCTGCCTCAGTCTGCAGTCGATGATGAGTAGCTTTCTTCACCAGCGCAGTGAGGAAATTACTAACCAGCCGCAGCAGCAGCAGCAGCATCAGGTGGACCTGGAGCAGGACCTCAAACAACAGGCTTTGGGCCTACTTGGACAGCACCCTGCCAACCGAGGTAGACAATCCCCTTGACTACTGGGCAACGAAACTTGACCTTTGGCCCCAACTAGCTGAATTTGCCCTTGAAAGGCTGTCATGCCCGGCCAGTAGCGTGGCATCGGAGCGCGTGTTTAGTGCGGCAGGAGGTATTGTAACTCCGCGGAGGACACGACTGTCCACCCAAGTGTGGAGAGACTCACGTTTGTGAAAATGAATCAGGCGTGGATTAGTCTGGATTTCAAACCACCAGTTCCTGACACAACTGACTAAATCCGCCATGAATCATGCCCCAAACATGTGCCACTTTCAGGTCTCCTCACACACTGCTGGTGTGTTCCATTTTTTGTCATAGGGTGCTGGCAGATTACGGGCCTCCCATAGCTGCTGCCAGGCCCCTAATCTGCCATAGGCCCCTATATACCGCCTCCTCATGCTGCTGCCAAGTCCAGAGTCTCTCATGGGTCCCTGTACGGCCTACCATTGCTGCTGTCTCCATCGCCACACTCTGCCATGTGCCACTTTCAGGTCTCCTCACACTGCTGGGTGTGTTGAATTTTTTTGACATAGGGTGCTGGCAGATTACGGGCCTCCCATAGCTGCTGCCAGGCCCCTAATCTGCCATGGGCCCCCTATATACCGCCTCCTCATGCTGCTGCCAGGTCCAGAGTCTGTCATGGGTCCCTGTACGGCCTCCATTGCTGCTGTCTCCATCGCCACACTCTGCCATGTGCCACTTTCAGGTCACCTCACACACTGCTGGTGTGTTCCATTTTTTGTCATAGGGTGCTGGCAGATTACGTGCCCCCTATAGCTGCTGCCAGGCCCCTAATCTGCCATGGGCCCCTATATACCGCCTGGTCACGCTGCTGCTGGGTCCACAGTGTGACATGGGTCCCTGTACCGCCTCCCATTGCTCCCACTCTGCCATGTGCCACTTTCAGGTCTCCTCACACTCCTGCTGGTTTCCATTTTGTCATAGGTTGCTGTATGGCCTCACATTGCTGCTGCCTCCACCGCCACACTGTGGCTCCAAACACTGGTTTTGGCCCCGTGACTGGCCAAATGATTCTAAGATCGACGGCACTCATCTGCATGTCATACTGACTGACAGTATTATTTCTCTTCCCCAGCAGACTCCAAGGGCATTTAAATTAAAGGTACAGTGTTCTGCACTAATATTAAGTCTCTCTGAAGCCTAGAAAAACCCTTTAAGTTAATTCACAGCGAATATATTCGACTCGAATCGAATATTGTCCACGAATTCGCCGAATCAGTCGAATCGAATTTTTGAATACTTCGCTCATCTCTATTCATGACAGCGGGAGACCAGAGCTTTGAAGTATATCAGGGGATCAAAGGAGTATGTTTCATCCCTCATAAAATCTAAAATATTAGTTGCAGAGAGATGAAAATACTTCCTTCTGATGGGGCACGCTGTGTGTCAAATCGACATATAAAAACCGTATTTGTGGTTTAGGTAGAATGCCAGGAAAATGCAAGAAATGGTTAGGTGCGCTGGATTGCAACAGCCGAACAGTGATTGGTACTGTCGCGATCGGACTGATGCGCTGGGTGTCGGAAATCCAATCCTTGACTTGGTGATTCAAGTCGGTCTTGGTCCGATTGACCTTGGGCAGTTCGGCACCCAAAACATCCTGTGGGCAGGTACAGGAACACCCCCCAGGGTCAATTGGCCGAGTACTAATGTCCCGCCTATGTCCATATCCCCATAAATTGAGGACATGGACATTTAGGCCATGGTAATTCATATGGAGATGGATCCATTGACTAACGGATTACTGATTCTCCCTGACTTGCTCCAGTCGCAGGACAGATCTCGGTAAAAGTTTTATTTCTGTTTTTTATCCCTTTTTATTTTATAGTAAATAGTCATTTGTGTGTCTTCTTGTATTTTTTGTATTTCTGTAACTTTTTTATATTTTGTACATATTTTATGCTCCGCCCACTTTTGGGAAATTAAATCTTAAAATTAATTAGTGACTTCTGGGTACTTAAGCTCGGGCTCATATCTTCAGAGAGAGATTAGATTGTATTGTATTTTAGTGCCTTTAAATGCTCGGTCAAGCTCATTGCCAAATCTGTATGCAATTGCATTGCGTGTGGGCAGATTGTGTGCAGATTGTAAAAGGTAACAAATCGGCCAGATGGAGATCTGTGTGTTGTGGGGTGTCCAGCAGACCGTTCTCTGCGGATAAACTGCTGGGTGGTGGCAGGCTACCGTTTGTGGTGTGTCTGGTGTGGGGTTGTGTGGACAGTGGAAGGGTGATAACATCGGGGTTCAAGCTGTAGGTAGCTGGAGGGGACTCTAGAAGGGTGTGCTTACTAAGCTGCTCCTCAACCCTAATCAGTGCACCAGATTGTATGTAAGATTTGTATCTGCCAGTGTGTGGTCAGCCCTCTGGATTGGAGTGGAGTCTCCATCTGCTGGCGGTGGGCAGAGGTAGTGGGGGCTGTGGAAGGATATCACGGCTGATCTTTTATACGGTTTTATATATTCAAAGTTAAGTCCCGTTTATTCACTCTTACCCCCCCCCCCCAAGTCACGGCTGCACGTGCGCCTCGGTTAGCTAGTCGCTGTGGGCGTGGCATGTGGGGAACGCGTGACAGAAGGAATCAGCATAAAGTTGTGACATCGCTGAGAAAAAAGTGTTGATTGAAGTCAGAGCCGGATCATGTTGCTCACAAAGGTAGTGTGCCGAGGATTGGGGTTCATTCTGAAGGAGTGAAATAATGAATCCCACTCTGGTGCTTTGTGATGCAAAGGTTCTTGGGAGCAGCGAAAAATATAGCTCACAGAAGTTACAAAAGGTTCGGAATGTCCTGCGGTCTCCCGTGAAATACTCGGGTATTGGCACCCGGGATTCCAGTAGGGAAGAAGTTCCATGAATCATGCTGAGCTCTGTCTGGGTAGTTATGTCTGAGACTGCAGAAGGACCCATAGCTGGTGAGACATCTGACTCAGTATTGGAACCGGGGTTCCGGTGGAGGAGAGGTTCCATGAATCATGCTGAGCTCTGTCTGGGTAGTTATGTCTGAGACTGCAGAAGGACCCATAGCTGGTGAGACATCTGACTCAGGTATTGGAACCCAGGGTTCCGGTGGAGGAGAAGTTCCATGAATCATGCTGAGCTCTGTCTGGGTAGTTATGTCTGAGACTGCAGAAGGACCCATAGCTGGTGAGACATCTGACTCAGGTATTGGAACCCGGGGTTCCGGTGGAGAAGTTCCATGAAACATGCTGAGCTCTGTCTGGGTAGTTATGTCTGAGACTGCAGAAGGACCCATGGCTGTTGAGACATCTGACTCAGGTATTGGAACCCGGAGTTCCGGTGGAGGAGAGGTTCCATGAATCATGCTGAGCTCTGTCTGGGTAGTTATGTCTGAGACTGCAGAGGGACCCATAGCTGGTGAGACATCTGACTCAGGTATTGGTACCCAGGGTTCCGGTGGAGGAGAAGTTCCATGAATCATGCTGAGCTCTGTCTGGGTAGTTATGTCTGAGACTGCAGAGGGACCCATAGCTGGTGAGACATCTGACTCAGGTATTGGAACCCAGGGTTCCGGTGGAGAAGTTCCATGAAACATGCTGAGCTCTGTCTGGGTAGTTATGTCTGAGACTGCAGAGGGACCCATAGCTGTTGAGACATCTGACTCAGGTATTGGAACCCGGGGTTCCGGTGGAGGAGAAGTTCCAAGAATCATGCTGAGCTCTGTCTGGGTAGTTATGTCTGAGACTGCAGAAGGACCCATAGCTGGTGAGACATCTGACTCAGGTATTGGAACCCGGGGTTCCGGTGGAGGAGAGGTTCCATGAATCATGCTGAGCTCTGTCTGGGTAGTTATGTCTGAGACTGCAGAAGGACCCATGGCTGTTGAGACATCTGACTTGGTTGGTAGTTGGTTTTCCATGGGCTCAAGGTTTCTTTGCAAACTCTGCACCAAGTAAGACAAGGCAGAGGTTGATTGACAGATGTCCCCATTGCAGAGGCCTCCCTTTCAGACTCCATCACTGGCTGACTGGTACTGTCACGTACCTGATTGGAGACTGAAATGACGAGGTCGGCCTCACTTGTGTCACTAGCCCCGACCCCACTGGAGGTGGAACAGAGGGTGTCTAGGGACCAGGGGGACAAGAGCGCCAGCAGATGTTGTTTGCAGCTCAGTTGGTGACCTTGGAAGGCTGATGAACCTCCATTCAGGCACAGTAGTGATATGCAGAGCTGGTATGGGAGGTCACCAGGTGTGCACCAGAGCAAGGCAGGGATAGGAGACAGGAGCAGTGTCATAGGAATAGCCGGGGTCATCAACGGGCGGACAGCGAGGTACCAAATCATAAACTAGCCAAAGTCAGGAGCAGAGCCGAAGTCAGGAACCAGTATCAATCAGGAGAGGAATCAGAGTCAGGTCAGGAACAAGCCGGGTCAGCAACAAGGAAATCACAGAGGAACAAACAGGACACGGGGAAGAGCTGAAGACCAGTCAGCACTCAGCACAGGCACCTTTTTAAATAGTCCAACTGGCGCCAATCTTTGCCATGCGTCTGCACGTACGTGTGCGCGATCACGCATTTCTGTGCACATGCGCACGTCTATTCTCCAGCCGTCTCGTGGGAATTCCCTTACACCCTGATAGTGGGAACAGAGGGCGCAGAGCCAGGAGTGGTACGAGTGTCGTGTAGACCTGGAGCTGGTGGCAGGTAGCTGGGGACCCAGGAGATCCAGATGCAGGCCAGGTGCGGATGCAGGAATGTAGGTGCAGCAGAAGGCAGGTATGGCAGCAATCAGGATGCGGACTGGACTGGAGACAGGTGCGGGGACCGTGGGTGCAGCGGCAGGTAAGTATGGCAGCCGTCAGGATGCAAGCCAGGTGCAGGTATACAGTTGTGTCCAAAATTATTCAAACCCCACTGAAATTGAGTGTTTTGGCCAGTTTGACATTGCTTTTGATCATTCAGTCATCTTGCTTACATTTACATTAAAGAGGCACTTGTAGGTCAGACAAATATAACATAACAGTTATAATGAAATAACCACAAATGTCTTTTCTGTGCTCACAGCATTATCAGTTTTATTCAACCCCCAAGTGACATTCAATCTTAGTACTTAGTACAGCATCCTTTTACAGTTATAACAGCTTTTAAACGTGAAGCATAGCTTGACACAAGTGTCTTGCAGCGATCTACGGGTATCTTCGCCCATTCTTCATGGGCAAAGGCCTCCAGTTCAGTCACATTCTTAGGCTTGCGCACTGCAACTGCTTTCTTTAAGTCCCACCAGAGGTTCTCAATCGGATTTAAGTCTGGTGACTGCGATGGCCACTCCAAAATGTTCCAGCCTTTCCTCTGCAACCATGCTCTAGTGGACTTGGAGGTATGCTTGGGATCATTGTCCTGTTGAAAGGTCCAACGTCTCCCAAGCCTCAGGTGTGTGACGGACTGCATCACGTTTCCATCCAATATCTCCTGGTACTGAAGAGAATTCATGGTACCTTGCACACGCTGAAGCTTCCCTGTACCTGCAGAAGCAAAACAGCCCCAAAGCATGATTGACCCTCCACCATGCTTCACAGTAGGCAAGGTGTTCTTTTCATCATAGGCCTTGTTCTTCCTCCTCCAAACATAGCGTTGATCCATGGGCCCAAACAGTTCTAATTTTGTTTCATCAGTCCACAGAACACTATCCCACAACTTTTGTGGTTTGTCCACATGGCTTTTGGCATACTGCAGTCGACTCTTCTTATTCTTTGGAGACAGCAAGGGGGTACGCCTGGGAGTTCTGGCACGGAGGCCTTCATTACGCAGTGTGCGTCTTATTGTCTGGGCTGAAACTTCTGTACCCACATCTGACAAATCTTTTCTCAGTTCCTCAGCAGTCACACGGGGACTTCTCTCCACTCTACGCTTCAGGTAGCGCACAGCAGTCGAAGTCAGCATCTTCTTTCTGCCACGACCAGGTAGCGTTTCAACAGTGCCCTTTGCCTTGAATTTGCGAATGATGCTTCCTAAGGTGTCTCTTGGTATGTTTAAACATCTTTGCAATCTTCTTAT